CGCTCTTCCTCCCTCACAGGCACAGGTGTGCAGAGTGGAGTGTGAGTTAAGAGACCCATTCCTATGCACAATCTTTTACTAACTCAGGAATCACCTCCCTTAACTGGGCATAGATTACTCCATCTAGTCAATTCTCTCCAAATTCTCTCTAGTCGTTTTCTCTACTTTCTGGAATCAGGACAGAGATGATGAGTTCTGTGGGAGCTGTAGTATATAGGTGCTTACAGTTGAGAAGGTTAATGATAGTGTACTGCATAGTCTGAGAAGGCAGTCAAACACACTTCACAATCATCAGCATCTACTATGGTCTGAGGGCAGCATGTGGTGGCAATAAACTTCCTCTGACCTGCCCCAGTGCCCTATAAAGTTGACTCTAGCATTTGACACCTTCCTTGTGTGAGGAGAGTTTACAAAGAATAATGAGATAATGCTGCCCAAAGGCCAGACTTTTCAATGAAAGCTGCTAATTATAAGCAAAGCATCAGAAGGCAGGTACACGACTAAAGTTGGACCCTTCATCTGTGTCAAAATGTTCCTGAAATGGGTAGCATCATTGTCACATTGTAAAAGAATCTTTTGCTAGAGAAGTGAAAATGACTAAAAAGGAGGAAATCAGGCCTTTGAAGGGATGACCAAATACCAGGAGACAAATGACCCTGCATGAGAGAAGAGTGAAGAAGATCAAATATTCTCTACATTGACTAGAAGGGATTTTTGCATAGCAATAGAAGTAGAGGTTGTCCAGTTCATTGAGGACAGGGACCCAGACAAGAATTTATATGACCTCAGAATGGTCAGCAAGACATTAAAAGGTTAGAGAAAGATCAACAGACAGATGTTTTTTAGTTTTATACCAAACAGACTATTTTTAATTTGGTGAAAATTACACTCTTAGGAGGTCAGGTATTTTTAGAAGTTGCTTTTAACTCTTTTTTTTTTCTTTTTTTTTTTAACTGCCAGAGGGCACATGCACTCACTAGACAGAGATAGAGAAAGGGAGAAAGCACCTCCAATGGGGCATGCTCATTGCAATCCCTTCTCTTCCATTACTCCATCCTGTTGGATTTGGGGGGCATGCATGCACATATATCCAGTGTGTTTTACAAGCTACTGAGGCTGGGATTCAAACTGCAGTCAGCCATGTGGGATCCAGCTCCCTTAATCACAAGGCTACAAGGCTGGCCCCTACTTTAACTCCATTAAAGGCAGAAATGGGGACCATTCTGTGGAAATGTTTTTTTCCTTTCCTTTTTGTCCTATTTCTTCCTGAAAACGTATGAATCCATTCTTTTTCTTTCTTATGCACTCCATGTAACATTTCTCACTAAGTTCCACATTCGCTTTTTATCCCTCCAAAATCTGGAGCATTGAAAGAATTCATTCTATTTGTGCACATTGAAGACTTCATTATCATACTTATTATTAAACTGTGTGTTTCCTCATGGAAGGGACTCAAGGAGTCCTTAAATGTATTTGGCAGCATGAGGACCATCCGCAGGCTATCTCCTGCTGATTATTATCTTGACTTTCTGCTGAAAACAAACTCTCTTTTTAAGGAGTCCAACAAAAGATTTTTTTCCCCTCTCTTTATCCTTTCTCTTCTCTTTCATATCTTTCTCTTCTTTTTCTGTCTGTTCTTCCTCTTTTATTTTTAATTTTTTCTTTATTCATGATAGAGCACATGCATTAGAGAGAGAGGGATGGATAAAGACAGAGAGATGAGCACCCTCCATAGGGTCTGGTCAGCCATGATTCTCTTCCAATCCCCTTCCCCAGTCTGTTGAATCTTGGGCCCTTGTGCATGTGGCCAGCATGTTTTAGGGCTGACTGAGCCAGAGATTTGAACCATGGTCACCATGTGGGATCCGGCTTACCTTGAGCAGTTCATTACCACTGTGCCATGGAGCTGAATCCCTCTTTTCTTTTAAGTAATTGTTATTGAGTATATGCCATGTATTAAGTCCTAAATAGGGCTCTACTTAACCATTTTATTCATGTTGGTTATTTAATCTGGCTTTCAGCTTTGTATTTTTCCTGTGGATAATAAGGCAACAGGGATATCCTGGTTGAGCCACAGGTTAACAAGAACATTTAATATGAGACTTCTGATCATCGCAGTCACCCCTGGGAAGGACTCTAATGGGATGTTTGTTAGCAGCTATTTTGATAAAAAGTTATTGCTTATACTGACCATTTTTTCCTACCAGAAGAGCATTATTCCATTATGTTTAGAATCCACAGAAGCTTTTTAATGACCTGGACTCTGCACTCAGAGAATGGATAGTGAGAAAGAACTGGACAATCCCCCCATTGCTCTACTGTAGCTGGAGCTCAATTAGACAAAGAGCCAATATCTTCTGGTCCTACATAGTGTTAAGCTCACTTCAGAGAAGCTCTGATCTTCCGATGTATGACAAAATAAAATAATAGTTCCAGTTTCTCAGTAATGAGGTAGTATATGCTTCCATTTCATTGGTTACTACTCTTTTTTTTTTTGAGAGGTTTTCACTATAGGGCATGTGCGCTCGCCAGAGAGAGACATAGAGACAGAAAGCGAGAAATCACCCCCCAGGGGGGATGGTCACGCTGTAATCCCTTCTCTATCATTCTCCTCTCTGGATTTTGGGCACGCACGCACACGCGCCCAGCGTGAGTTTTAAGCCACCAGGTCCAGGACGCGAACCGCGGTCGACTATGTGGGAGTCCAGCGACATAGCCATTACGCTAACTGCTGGTCCGGTTACTACTCTTTACTCCACAGATCTTTTTTGCTTTGTCACTCACCTTTTTTAGAAACTCAAGTGAATATATTATTAAGTGAAAAACTGTATGTATGCAGAGAACTAAGTTAAAACTTTCACTGTTTGTGCTTGAGCATGTCTTCAGGATTATGAAAGCTTTTCAAAATAAAAATGAAGTCATTTGTGTCAATTTACACTAAAATGCTGCCTGACTGAACTGAGCCAGAAAGCCTATGGAGGAAGAGTTTTCTCACTAGCATGCCTGATAACAAGACCTGTCATTTAACAACAATCTTGCAGAAAGACCATTGCAACCTGACACTAGGATTTCTTCTATGAAAACATCTGCCCAGAAACTCCTTGTCCAACTGATAACAATTGATGCCAACAATGACGCCAATAACACGGGGTGCCATCAGTTTACCCTCATTACTGATACCAAAACAATGATGTAACCTCTCCTCTCCTCTTCTCCTCACCTGTGGTTTTTGCCTTTAATATCTGACCAGGGATTGAAAAACCACAGTGAGTATATTCTGGGCTACCTGAATTGTGTTCATTCAGGATGCAAAGCCAGGTGCAGTCGTTAAACTCATGTTCAGATAAAGTCCTTTTTGCTTTATATGTTTTTCCTACATTTACTTTTTAGATGATTGGAATGGAGTCTTCAATCAGCCTTGAAGTTATTTTTTTCTTCAGATGCCCATAGTCTAATAAGCTACCTTAAATGCATGAATCAAATTTTATTTTCCACCTTATATGATTTTTCAAATTATCAACCCTAAGTTCTATTGTTTTGAAAATCTTTAAGTTTGGCATTCCCATAGTATATATCTTACTAAGACAATGGGATGGGTTTGAGCAAAGTTCAGTGGGGATTCATTCTCAAACCAATCTGACCATCCTCATTACAGGGAGACTATGTCTTACCTAATCAAAATGCCCAGGGAGGCTGCGAACTAGAAATACAACAAATGCAACCAAATACACTTAGATACTTCAGTTATTTACTTTCCTTTAATATAACCAGTATTATTGAAGTATTGTCCATAGGATTGGTCTAGTAAAAAAATATTTTATTTTTTAAACTCGTTTCAGAATCTCGAATTCTGCCAATTTGGAAAGGGATTTATAAAAAATCAGTTTAGTGGTGTGGTAAACACACTGTGCTAAAATAGGAAAACACTTGGGTTCTAATCTCAACCACATGATTCGCCAGTCAACAAATAATATCAACAAGGTGAAAAATGTTTTCTTGAATTGTAGTTTTGAACATACATTCTCCCTCCCAACACACATGTATTACTATTCAATTTTCATCATATTTTTTTCTGGAATTCTATTTTATGATCTAGAAAACAGGGATAGTAACTCCTACCTGCCTACTTTAAAGATGCATTTTTCAATTTTATATCTAAGAGTTTTGAGCTAATCCTGTACAATTCCACGTTGTTTCCCACATATCAGGGCTGTGAATATACTAAAGCACATACATGTACAGCAAAAATAATCTTTTTCTTGGGAAAACATTGCTCTGGAAATTACTACAATAATATTCTATAATACTGCCAAGGACTCTCTTCTTCCACACACTGAAGATAATTGCAGAAAGAAACTGGTTGAGGGCATGCATGTTATAAGTTTGTCCTATTACATTCCCTTTCTGTTTACCTTCTTGAGACATTTTTTCCTCTGTCGGACATTCACTCCCTGCATACCAGTATAGTGAAGAAAATCTATAGATGCTTAAATGCCTGGAAGTATTTCTCTTTCAGTTCACAACAGCTTTATCACTGTTCTGAAATAAAATGCTTTTCAATCAAAATCCTCTCTCAGACATAACAACCAATACGGATGGAACCTGTCCAATCAGAGCAGAAAACCACCCAACTCAAGAAGAATCATAGTCCAAAACATATTGACAAAGCTAAAAAAATGTATGTACCTGGGCAATTATGTCTATAATTTCTGAATAACTGTGGCATCTTCTTACACAGGATCGAGCCAAAAAATCTTCCACCAGTCGGGTTCCAATGCTATAACCCCTGTGGATGAAGGAAAGAGGATGATCTGAAAAAATCTGAATATATATATTATAAATAATACATATATATTTACTCACACATATATATGTTATATATATAATTTGTCTTGTTTTATATGTATATATCAGTTGTACATAATTTTTTTTGTATGTGTGTGTGTATGTATTATATAATATATACACAATTTGTTTTGTTCGGTTAAAGGGTATGTTTATATAAAATACTTTATAAATTAAAAATATAAGACCCTCTCAGCAGAAGATGAGAACTCCAAATATAAATTTTAATTAATTAATTAATTATTTAGTTTGCCATAGGGCACATGCGTTCGCTGAAAAGAGACAGACAGGGAGAGAGAGAGAATATGAGAAAACACCTCCTACAGGGGGAGGATAGCCATGTCACAGTCCTTTCTCCTCCATTTTCCTCTTGGGATTTTGGCCATACACACACATGCGCATGTCATCATGTTTATCAAGTAACCAGGTCCATAACATGAACCATAGGGTGGGTAATGTGGAATCCAGCTGCCTTAACCACCAAGGCCAAGGCTGGCCCTCCAAATGTGAAACTGTAAAAATACATCATATATTTCTTTATTCAGAGGAGAAAATGAGAGACAAGTATTCTCAAAAGGGTGTTTGCACCTGATCCACTCCCAGCTTCAGCAAGCCAAAATTATGCATGTGTGCTTGCCCAGCATGAAGACCTCAGGAGGCAAAAACCAGACCTGCCTGTGTGACTTCAGCATCTGAGTGTCACATGACTGCTGCTCCACTGCTGTGCCCCTCTGTGCCTTTGCAGCCGGCCATATTTTCTTTTTTTCTCTTAAGGCAAAGTCTTTCTACAGACTCTCAAAACTTATTAATATTTCATTAATTTGTTAAAATTTGTACTTAGCTAACAAACAGTAAGTTTTTTTTTAGTCAAATTCATAAACATTTTTCATCTTCCACAGCTAACCTACAAAACAATGCAAATTTACCAGTTGAATACAGTAGTTTCTGGAAACCCGTGAGGTGTAAAATAACTTAAGCAGCTCCCATAGTTATAGGCAGTTCAGTCAAGGAAGTAAATCAATGGAGGAGGAAAAAGCCACAGGTGAACAGTTGGGCAGCTTGCTTCTTTGTTGAATATGACTGATTAATTAAGAAGAAATTCCAAAAAAAGAAAAAAGAAAAAAAGGCATGTGTACCAAAGTAAATGCAGGACAATAAATACAAAAAATAAAAAGATCTTTCCAAAGAGATAAGTGTATAGAAAAGGAGGAAACCAAGGCTTCAAACAAACAAAAACAATGATCTTTGGGTTGGCCTCATGGCCTAGTGGCTAAGGGAGCTAGATCCCACATGGCTAAGCATGGTTCAAATCTGGAACCCAGTGGCTTGAAAAACACATCAGGCAAGTGTGCATGACTGCCCCAAATCCAAACAAGATGAAGATATAGAGGACAAGGGATTGTGATGTGACCATGCCACATGAGGGGGTCCTTTTTTTTCCTTTTTCTGTCTCTCTCTCTCTATTTTTCTCTCTATCTCTCTGGTGAGCAAACATGTCCTTTGGCAACTAAAAACAAACAAACAAACAAACAAAAAAACTTTAATGCTTCCCAAGTTGTCTTTTTCTGTATTCCTACTGAAAATGCAAATAATCCTTTCAAAAGCTATAAAAGCTCAAGTAGATTAAATTTCCCCTTCAACTTATCTAGATAAATCTTCTCTCTCTCCCAGTCTTTCTCTTGATGGAAGCCTTTTCACTGTTCCTAATTAGGAGGTTCAAAAATATTTGTATTTTATTGTTGGGCTGTAATCTGATGACCATGCAATTATTTTGAGAAAATTAGAAGGCTGAATTTGTGTAGGAGGAATTTCCACTAATAAAGACAGAGAGGAAGGGCTTTATTTTAAAAGGAAGACTTCAATGTTTCTATTTAATACTTTTTTTAGGTAAAGCATGGGAATAGTAAAAACATTTGAACAATAAAAAGTCAGATATAGAAAAGACATATTTTCTTCCACCCGTAATCCCGTCTCCAAGTCTTCCTCCTGGGCAGCTCTCATTAGCAGTTTGTTGCCTGTGCTTCCATAGATAGAAGCATATAGTTACATTGGAAGCAGTTATGTTTGAAAAAAGATGTCTGGAAAAAAGCATACTTGATGTTCCATCATACTGTTTAAAAAAAAAATTTCATTTTCACTATGTCCTTTGCTTATAAATGATTAGCAAAGAAGTGATTTCTAGCTAAAAAGTATTCCATGCTTGATATCCCTGAAGAAAAACATTCCTCCCTATTACTTTATACTATTAACCCAAATGACAGTTGTAAAAAATCGTGTTCAGCTTCCAGATGTGATTCACTGAAATAAAAGAAGAGCTGGAGAAACAGATCAAGAGAAGTCCTAAAAGGAAGACAAAATGCAAGAGATGCTCAGAAACAGTCGACGTTTCCCAAGAACGAAAGACTTCTACTTACATTTTATCTAAATATTTGTTCACATCTTCATCTTTTTCATAATCTTTACACAATTGGGCAACCAGAGCTCCATAGGTGAGGACGAAGAGATCTTTATTCTAGAGAAAAAAAGATAGGATTGGCAAGGTTACAAGAATATACTAATGTACTTTTTTTTTTTTTTAGGTACAAAATCTCATGGTTGGAAGCAGCTTTAGAGATTATTTGTTTATTGTTTCCACCTCCCTATATTGCAACAATTCTCACATTTGAGAACAAATTATACTCATATTTGGATACATGAAATACATTTCTTAACATGAGAATACCTGTCTATGTATTTGCTAACATTATGTAACTTGAAATGACTTTTCATGGAGGAGAGTTTTTACAATATACTTATTTCTCATGTAAACTCCTGTGTTTCTATAATGGCGTTTAATATATGCAGAGCATATTTCCAGTTGGAAAGAGTAATAGGATGAACCTTCTCATGAGTCTACACAATCCATAATGGGTCCCAGATCTGCCGAGCACTTTAGGGTAAACCCAACTATAGCAAGTAATGTGTAAGTGGCTTTTTTTTTTTTTTTAGTTGTTATAGGAAAAAGAGGAATTTGTGCTTTTCTTATAGAACTCCAAAATATGTCTCCTTTTTAGGGTGAATTAAAAAATGAAAACTAAAAGTAAGGACAATTTATGTTTGATTTATCATAGATATGTGGAAAATATGGGAAACTGAGAATGCACACTTCAGTCAATCCACTTTTAAAAAGTTTTTCAAATTTCAAGACAGAGACTTCTGCTGTTGAATACTATCTAAGAAAGGAAAAGGAGACTCAGAGGTAATTTATTTCACTGCAGTCAGTCCTACAGAGGAGGGAATGAGGCTTCAGGAAGGTTGGATGATTTGCCCAACCAGCAGTAACTATTAGAGTCAGAATGGCATCTCAGACTCCAGGCCTCCACAATGACACATTTTTTTCTTATGTGTGGCTATGGGAGGCTTAGAGTTGAGTAGGAGAGGGAAATAGGAAGAAAGATTATGATTGAAAATAATCTTATTTTGTGTATAATCTTGTACTTTCATGAAAGGTCAAATGTGGTTAAAGAATTGTTCTTTCCTCTTGGTCACATGTGTGGAGAGAAGAGGTCTGATAATAATGTAACCACTTAAAAAGAAATAGGTGGGGGCCAGCAGGAGGCATGGTGGTTAAGGTGCTGGACTCCCACATGGCCAACCACGGTCTGAGTCCTAGATTCGGCAGCTTGCTTTCTCACTTTCCTTCTCTCTCTCCCTGGTCAAATTAAAATAATAATAATTAATAAAATTAAATAAATAATTCTTTTTTAAAAAGCAACATGGGTGGAAATGCCTCCAAAAACCAATAAAGTTGTTCAATCAATAACAAGGATTCTATAAAATGGTATACAATTTTGATTCAAATACTTCCAACAGTGGCCCAATACCATGAGTGTCCTCTTCCTTATGTACGGATTTATATTGTGATAGATATGTTTCTTCAATTAGGTAGAATATTAATTACCACTAAATACATTTTAAATGGATAGAATTTAAACATTATATGGCCCATATGGACATAATTTATATTGAAAAATATAAATAGATATGTTATAAATGTAATTGGAATATACGTTATATACATTAATTGACATTACATTAAGGACACTAATATACACAATCCAAGTATAGGAAATTAATAAATACCTTAACAGTTTTTACTAGAAAACAAGTGATATCAAGCAAGTGTTGTGAACAAACATACTGTTAAACAAAACACGGAAGGGTTACCACTTTTAATTCTCGTCTTCTTATTTACATTTTCAAAGAACCTAATCACAAGAAATGCCTATAAATTATAAATAAAATATCTACTTAAGAAGCCACAGAAGAAGACAAAGTGCTGCTGTGTGCCAACGCGACTGCCCACAAAACAAGCAAAGATGAAAGGAAGAGCCGAAGAGCAGGAATAATGTGTTTCTTGCCACTGTAGTGAGACTAAGGAATTTGAAAAAGAGAGAAAAGGAGAAAAGAATATATCCTACCTATGTGTCATTGCATCAGCACTGTGCCCGTGGATAGTAAAGGCCAAGCTGAAATAATGGCATTTCCCTCTGGCTGGCTCTCACTGGTGGGTGGGTACTAGTAAATTTGGAAACACATTTTACTTCCAGCTGAATTTCAGGCTCAATCCCCTTAAAGGCCCACGTTCTCCATTCTGTCTTATGGCAAGGGCTTTCATTATACTATGTGTCCAGCTGGACCTCAAACCCCATGGATTCCAGAAAAGGTTACCATAAACTTGTTTTCATGGCTTTAAAAAACATGAAAAATTGCATATCTTGAAAAGAAAAAGAATATCATCAATTATTTCAGGAGATCTTAGATATATCAAATTAAAAATGTGTTTCACTGCTACAGAAATCAAGTGATCTTGGTACAATACGAACTATGTATAATATTTTTTAGCATTTGAGAGTAGCAATGAAAAATAAATCAAGATTCCAGAATGCTTTAAGAAGCATCTGTAGACGTTTGCAGCTGGTGTGCCAGTTAGCCACTACAGTTCTAAGTACCCAAGGCAGAAATTACTTAATTATATCAAATGTCACCAGTCTCCTGAAATATTTAACACATCTTTAAATTTAATGAGTTTTCACATCTTTAACTGCTGAAAAGCTTAAAAGTCAGTAAGAGGATAAAAGAATGTCCAAAACTAATCTGCATAAAACTAAGTTTAAAAAAAAAAACTTTAAACTTAGATTACATAGAAAAAAATACTAGTACAGACCAAATAATATTAATAAACTCATATTTTTAAGGGTAATCTTCTAATTCCTAGGTTTTTCATGATCTAGCCCTATTCTATGGTAACATACTCAACTATTTTACATACATTTCGTGTCCTATTTCATAAAGTATGAAATAAAAAGAATTTCTTAATCTTTTCATATTTTCTGTCAGACAAAAGAAAAATTTGACACTTTTATGGCATAATCAATTAAAAAAAATCAGTCAAAAGACCCTAAAAGCCATTTAAGAATCAATTATTCTATTACAGAATGTAAGAAATCACAGTCCCTATTCTCAAAGGTGTCATCTATGATTCACTCCATTAACACTCCCTTTGCGCCACTGAAAATTTCCACTTACAGCATCACCTTTCAAAATAAATTAGAAATCACTCAAGATAAAGTTATCTCGGACACAAAGATTTTTCATTATGAGTGCATCTTACTATTTTACGGTATTCTGGTCTTCTGTGTGCAGGACGAGACATCGTGCTTGATAGATGAAAAATATGATCTTCAATTCATTTTCTTTTGCCTAGTTGTTAGAGGTGTACCAGTTTTTATTCTCTTGCTTTGTTTTCTCAAGTTCCTTCTTGCTTTGAGAAAGGAGTGCTACTCTGTACTCTTCTCCCTTTTCTTTTTGCTGAACTGAAGAGGGAAAAAAAATACCAAACAGGAGTGCCTGTAGCCTCAGAACCTGCCACTGGTCAAATAACTGCTCCACTAATGAGGATGAGTTGCGATCTAGAGCCATAAAAGCTGAGAGTGTGAAGTCAGACCAAAAACATCTAGACACTAAAAATTCTTTAGCCCAAGGGAGTTCAAGAGTGGCCTTTTGTTCTTAAGCCAAGGCATTGTTTTAAAATCACAAACAGAAACCTTCACAGTCCAAGATAGATTTAAATGTTAGCAATATTTAGTCTTGTATTGATTGTCTTATGAATTAGAGAGACAGGATCAGCAATCTATAGGTACTAAATGCTAGGTTCAAATCTGATCGACAGTTCCAGGGGGTATCACATCGTCCCCAAAACACCTCCACCTAGTGCAGTTACACTATTTAAATACATCTCGACAACATAGCCTTTTTTTTTTTTTTTACATAAGCAACAATCAGCAATTTTAAGGCATGATAGAACAAGTAATATTTTCTTACAAAATTATTACTCAAAATGGGTGCTTATAGTTTAATAATGTATTAAGATTCTGGCAGGGAAAGCAAGCCTTTAGCTTCCTTTTGTTAGTTCCTGAGATGAGAGCTATTGAAAGCTCTCTTTATTTATGCAGAGGTATAGGTATTTAAAATATAAACAAGAAATCCTGTCATCTTGACAACTGCAGGGTACAGAGGAGCAAAATTGACTCCAGAAATAGAAGCACAGAATTCAGTTTAGGAACATAGTTTCCTACTTCTTACAGCTTGAGTCAGTTTGTCAGGTACTTGTTCTGACAAAATCTTGCTGTAAAATGACCAAACGGTGAATATTTTAAAGTGTGTGGTGTAGTTGAAAGAGCCTGGTAGGATTTGGAAGGTTCAGGCTGAGTTGCAGTTCTACCATTTACTGGCTGTGTGACCTTGGCCAGTCATTTTATTGCTCTATGGCTCAGTTTCCTGATCTCCGAAATGGCAGTAATAATACCCACCTCAGAATAATTGTGAGTATCAAAGCGATAATGTACGCTATAAAACACATTATAATGCACTGTATAAAAACTAATTACTATAGGTTGTTCTTGTGAGTGAATATAGTGAATGGAATTCTACAATATTTAAGATATTTCCCTTAGTGCCAATGTTCTGTGACACCATGATCTCAGGAAAGTCAGTTTTGTTGGGTTGTAGGATATGGAGCCTTTCCATTAGAAAATTAGTAACAACTTCTATTTATGTAACATATATAATATATATGGTTACAATACATAATTTATATATTTATATAAATTGTGTAGTTTACAACATGGTTTTTTTTTTTTTAATTTATTTGTTTTTTTTCTTGGGCACACATGCACATGTGCCCAGTGTGAGTTTAAGCCACTGGGTCTGGGACTCAAACTGCGGTCGACTGCATGGGAGTCCAGCGACATTGCCATTATGCCAACTGCCAGTCCCTACAACATGGTTTTGATTTTCTTTATCCCATTTTTAATTCAACCACAGTGCTGTAATCATTACCATTTTTAGGATAAGAATCTAAGAATAAAGAAGTTAAGATATTTTTGCAAGGTTGTATGAACAGCAGGCAACATAGAGAGATTTGGGCTAAGTTTGATGACTCTAAATTTTTTTTCCTATTGCACACACTCTATGTTAAGGTGAAATATTGTAGAGATAGACTCATGAAGGCTACTAAAACACTGTCACAGCATGTTGCTGGTTCCAGTTTTGGGGGCAATTCTGGGTTCTGGTAAGAGATTCCTGAGGGTTGGCAGGTGGTGTGGTGGTTAAGGTGCTGAATTCCCACATGACTGACCACAGTTTGAGTCCTGGACCTGATAACTTGTTTTCTCACTTTCTCTCTCTCTCTCCTCTCCCACTCTGTCCCTCTCTGGTCAAATATAAATAAATAAATAAATAAATAAATTTAAATAAAATAATTATTTTTAAAAAGAGAGAGATCCTTGAGCAAAACCTAGAAAAGTTCTGTGTGCTTGGAGGGAAGGAATGGTAGTACTGCAATAGATTTCACTAAATTCTAATGGCTGTGATATGGTAATGTCAGGGCCACTGAGAATTCAGGACGTCACGTCATGGGTGCATTAGAAAAAGTCAGTTCTTACAAACTGACATGGCTTGACATGTGCCTTGTGTTCCCCAAACCTGTTTGAATCAAAACCTCTGTGATATTTTCTGTTCAAGTGGGAGGTGGTCTTACATGAAAAGGAGGAGCTCGGAAACACAGACACACTCAGATCCTAAGATCACTGATGGCCAGTAAATTTTTTTTTTTTTTTGGAGAGGTTTTTGCTATAGGGTGTGTGCGCTCACCAGACAGACAGAGAGACAGAAAGCGAGAAATCACCCCCCAGGGGGGATGGCCACGCTGCAATTCCTTCTCCATTCTCCTCTCAGGATCTTGGGTATGCACGCACACGCGCCCAGTGTGAGTTTTAAGCCACCAGGTCCAGGACTCGAACCATGGTTGACTACATGGGAGTCCAGTGACATAGCCATTATGCTAACTGCTGGTCCCTGATGGCCAGTAGATTTTAAAGTTAAAACCCAGCAAACTGGTGTCCCAGCAATAGTGACCACAGCTGTTCTTATGCAGTTGTGCACCCACCAGGTACTTGGCTCCTTTCTGAAGCCCTGTGTCCTAGCCTGAGGGTCACTGGCGTGTCGACATTGGGGTGAGCCATGACAATCACAGTGACATAAAGAATATATGATATTTAAGTTCCTTAGGCAAGCACTCATGTGATTTCTTTCTGTATAAATTATTTTTTGCAGAACTTTACACAGATACAATCATACATTATATATTTCTTTTCTTGAGTTCTTTAATTCAGATCATTACTATTTAGTTATTTTAAATATCAATAGTTATTCTTTTTTTTTTACTGAGTAGTATTCTATTACATGTAATAACCTGATTTATTCATCTGCTGATAGACATTTGGGCTGTTTCCAGCTGGTGGCTACTATATATAAAGTTGCTATGGGCATTCATTTGTAAGTTTTCATGTGGCTATATGCTTTCATTTCTCTCATGTAAATAATTAGGTTTTAAATGATGGTGTTACGTGGCAGGTGCAAGGTTAACTGTTGACGAAGACGACAATTTTCATGAGTGATTGTTTCATTTTACATTCCCATCAGTGTATGAGAAGTCTCATTGTTCTACATCCTCCACGACATTTCATATGGTTAATATGTTTAATAATTTTATCCATTTTAATAGCTGTGTGGTAATTTCTTTTTTTCTATTTTTCTTTTTTGTCACAGGGTGTATGTGCTTGCCAGAGAGAGATAGTAAAAGGGAAAGTGAGAAATCACCCCTCAGCAGATGCTGCAATCCCTTCTCCTTCATTCTCCTTTTGGTATTTTGGGCATGTATGCACATGCACCCAGAGTAGTTTTCAAGCCACTGAGTCTGGGACTCAAAGCATGGTCAGCTATGTGGAAAGCCAGTGCTTTAACCACTATGTCACCTGCTGGTCCTATGTAGTGATACCCTATTGTAATAATAGGTTGACTTAGTTGTATCTTTTGAAATTAAAAAGTTATTTCCACAGATAATAAAGTGCCTTTAAAAATATCATATTTGTGTTTGTCATTTTTTAGTCTCATGTCTTTCCTCAGAGATTTTTTTCTTCCTCCTGAAATACACCCTTCAGTAGTCCTCTTAATGTGGTTCTGTGCATGATTGACTCCCTAGTCTTTATGGATCTGTATTCTGCACTGTCTCGAGTGATAGTTTGCCTTGGACTGTACAGTCTGATGCTATTGTATCTGCTGTTGTCACTGATGTGAAGTCTGCTGTCAGTCTATTCAGTCATTCTTTTGCAGGTTATCCGTCTTTTCTTTCTGGTAGCTATTAAAAATATCTCTATTTTCCACATTAGGAAGTTTTACTCTGATATGTTTAAATATGGATTTATCTTTATTTATACTGCTCAGAACTTCCAACATTCTCCTGATATGAGAAATTTCTTTGACTCCGATTCTCAGTTATTTCTCTTTGAACATTGATTGTTTCTCTGCCTATCCCTTCCTTTTCCTTTTGGAACTCTTTGTCCTTTTGTACTGTATTTTTTTTTTGTACTGTATTTTGATGAATTTATCAGGACTGTGTTTCAAATCAATTTTGTATTTAACCATGTCCATCTGAGACTTGGAGAAGAGAAATGTATATCACACTCAGTTTTTAAAAAATTTTCCATGACTATATAAAAAAAAATTCCATGGAGCACATGTACTTGCCAGAGAGAGACATAGAGAGAGATAAAGAGACAGAGAAAGCAAAAAAGAACCCCCAAAGGGGGATGGCCATGCAGTAATTCCTTCTTCTCCATCGTCCTCTTAGGATCTTGGGCATGCACACACATGTACCTAGAATGTTTTTTCAAGTACTGGGTCTGGGACTTGAACTTTATAGTTGGCCATGCTTAACTACCATGCCATGGACTGGTCTCACATTCACCTTTTAATAAGCCCAACCAAGCCTAGTCCTATGTCCTTCATATTGAAGTTGTACAATAAATATTTGCTGATTAAACATAGGAAACAGTATAGTTGTCAATTCATTCCTGTATGTATGTATGAATGTGAGTATCTATCTATCTGTCTACATATAAAACTTTATTGAAACCAAATATTGCCTTTTCATATAACAAGAGAACCACATAAACAAATTTGCAACTTTACTTTTAAAGCAACACAGAGGAAGGCCAGCAGGTGGCATAGTGGTTAAGGTGCTCGACTCCCACATTGCCAGCTGTGGTTTGAGTCTGGACCTGGCGGCTTGCTTTCTCATTCTCTCTTTCGCTGATGAGCACACCTGCCCTATAGCAAATTTTTAAAAATGTATTAAATAAAATTAAATAAATTTTAAAAAGCAATATGTAGCAATATTTTATCAACACAAAACTTAAAAAATTTTATGAAAAGTTAAGAGTGTTGTTTTGCTATGATTTGGCTTTAGGGATATTTAGGCCTTTTTTGTTGCTGTTGTTGTTGTTTTCTTTTGGTAAAACTTTGGGATGCTCCAGCACTAGTTTAGAGATGTTAGAGTCATCTCACAATTTTATATTGCTCTAGTATTTGACAGTTTCCAATATTACCTATATCATAATGCTATGGCCTAGTACGAGAGTATGGAAGTCTCTGTTTTGCTTGCAATGTCCTATTTGCTGGTGCTCAGCATCTTGGTTGTACAAAGCAGCACACAGAGTGATGGAGGCAGTTCACTTTGCAAGCCAAGCCAACCTTCTATCTGTGGGAAGATATGCTGAGGAAGTTTACCTCCTCACACAGACGACATGAATCTCTCCCTCGGTTGCTTCCAGCTATAATCTGAAGTGTATTTATTAGCTCAGGATTCACAAAGTACACAAGGAAAGATGCTAGAATCCTTTAAACATGTAAGGATGTTAGGTCACTTGACACAACCAGTTAAACCAGTAAGATCCCATAAAATGGTTATAGCTGGTAGAGCCTAATGATCAGAAAGGTCCACAGCCAGATTCGGGTAAGAGCTTCCCACGATGGGCCCATCTTTCAACAATGCTATATCTTCTCTGCAGAGAAGTGGAACATTTATGAATTCTTTAATTGCGGCTTTGACTATCGGTGGGCAACAACTGTTTTCCTCTTTCACATTCAGATGTCCCTGTCAGGTTGGGAAAAATTTCTATTATGGTTCTGCTTTTCTTGTCATCCCCGCCTTGATTCTTCTGATTGCTGGCTACGCTCTGAGAAGCCAAACGTGGACGATTACCAGTGAGTACTGCTGCAGATGCACCCCTCCTCACCGCAGAATCAGCCCCCTGGAGCGTAAGCTGGCTTGCCTTACATTCTTCAGCATCACCGGGAGGGCACTCGTGGCTCCATTGACGTGGCTGGCGGTGACCCTGCTGAAAGGCACCTACTACGAATGTGCAGCGAGTGAGTTTGCACCTGTGGACAATTACCCAGTGTTTGATAATGTCAGCGCCAGCAAACGAGAAGAGATGCTAGCTGAGTTTCCATGCTGCACATCAGCTCCCTCTGACGTGATCCTGGTAAGAGACGAAGTAGCTCTTCTGCACCGATTCCAGTCACAAGTAAGTTTTTGATTGTTTTGCTATGCTGCTATGCTGTCCCATACTCACTATAGTCACTAAAAACACTTCACATTCCTG